ATTCGAGGTATTGGATTGAATCAATATTCCAGGTATTGGATTGAATCAATATTCCAGGTATTGGATTGAATCATGAAAATTAAAAGATTGAATTGAACAAAAAATTTTGAACGCCTTTTTCTATGTTTAAATAAAACCATTATTTACAGGATTAAACATCTATTGCAAGGATTAAATTTTGCTACAAATGGCTTGCCATAAAAAAGCCAATTTTCGTTGTAAATTCTTCTCTTGAAGCTACCGTTCATTTAGCTCAAAAGACTGCTTCCTTGTAAAGTAAAACAGAAAATTATACCTGTCGCTTTCCAGAATTTTGTGCCAACAAGGTAAAATTAGACCTGATTGAATAAGCCAATCAAAGGGGAGCGATCGTCCGTTGGAGTTTGTGATTGGCAGGCTGAACACCTCAGCCTCGTTATAAAGGATCGGTCCGTGTTCAACTCTAGTTCCTATCCCCCATCTTGCTACTAACTGGATTTGGTCCTAAATTGAAATGCTTAAGTTGCCAGTTGGGATTTTTACTTGTCTGCTGGAGGTACAGTTTACGTTTACATGTATGTTCAATTAGGTAATTTTTTTGGTTTGTTTACAGTATCCCCAGTCTACAAGCACAGCTACACTAAGAGGGTCTGGAAGGGTATTCTCGGGATCCGGGATTTGACCAAAATACGGTGCGGGAATCGGGAAAACGATAAGTATCTCGACGGGATCCGGGATTTGACTGCTCCCCGGGAAGCGAAACTCACCAAAATTTGGACGCGGGATGCGCGATTTTTTTTCACCTGTCTGTCGGGAATTCGGAAAATCGCCACGACTCAAACGTTCTAGCGGCCAAAGCAAATTGCCAAAACCATCTTTTAGGACTATAAATTCTCCGTGTTTATTGCCGACAATCTTGTCCCCCTAACTAGACAGTTCAAGTTATGCAGTGATCACCATCTTGTTTGCACAGTGTACCCTTCAAATCAGGGACAAAAGTAGTTGAGACAAACCTCGAACACCCCAGGGCAGGGACTACCATATGAAAAGGTCAGGATGCTCGCCATCTTGCTTAGGGGTGTAAATCAAGGATTTTGGTCTTACTTAGGGTGTGGAGGACCAATTGCCACACTGATTACTTCTAGCCGTCAAGGTATGTTTTATGGTGGCACTCAAAGAAATCATTAAAAAACGCTGTGAGTCATTATTTCCATTTTCAGTGGTATCGCATTTGGAGGTCAAATAAAGTTCAAACATCACCCAGATTAGTCTCCTTAAGAGATTTAAGGATGTTCGAGCGAAAATTTCCCAGTCGATAGAATTTTTTAAAAATTTTTACCGCAGTCAGATAATGAGTTACTTGTGTCAGAAATGCAAACAAAGTCGGGGTCACCGACTTCATTTTAGAGATAAATAATAATAACAGTTCATTTATATAGCGCACAGATCCATTATTTGTCTGAGGCACTTCACAAAACTATCCCTAAAAATTCCAAATGTTGCCAACGTTTTCACAAAACTTAACCCTTCAAGAGGCATTTGAAACCGCCATTTGAAACCGTTTTGCAAAATATTCAAACTTATAATTGATAGATTTTCTTCATTTTTTCACTAAACGTAGAAAATCGGTAGAGAAAATGATCCATCGAAGAAAAATAGCGGTCACCGATCATCCAAGATTGTTAAATCCAGGCAAAGCTATAGCAATGGCCATCTGCCCTATCAGTGTTCATTTTATTACTTAGCGTGCACATCAATGCGTGACATGGCATGTGAATTTGCGTGCGCAGTAAGGATGCGCAGAACCAATTGGCAAGAACGTCCTTAATTGAAATTTTCAACTAGCTTCCCAACCTTTTCATGCAGTTTTCACTTCTACGATTATCAAATACATAACTAGAAGAAGTTATAATAGGGCAAAAAGATAAGTACATCTGTGAACATACCTTTTAAACTTTCTGCTAAAACCTTACTCATCCTTTTGAATTTCTCACATTCCTTGCTCCAAGGGTACATTTCATTGTAGTGCTTTCTGAGCAGCTTGGCGCTGCTTTCTCTCTCTTCTGGTCTTTTGTCAGACAGTAGTTGGATCCTTTGTGCCCACTTTTTAGCATCATCCGATTCAACAATGACAGAATTCCCACCTTTTACTTTAAGTAAAGCTTCAGCTATTCCAGATTCTCTGGCAACAAGAACAGGAACACCAGCAGAAATTGCTTCCAGGGCAACCATCCCAAACCCCTCAGTACGTGAG